TGTTATATATAGTTGCAGTGCTATTTGAGTTCCCTTGAACATGAATTCTTTGGATAAAATATACTCAGGGGGCATTGCAGGCGTTGGAAACACTCTGTACAATTTTCTCCATATCTCAATGAGCCAATAACTAATGTGATAAAAACATGATTAGCATGGTCCTATGATTAGTTTCAGTCATCTATTTAATAGTCTCATGTATCCCATCTGTCCCTTTTAAGCGTTGCTATATTTCGCTGGTCTGAATTTTTGCTGAAACTGGCTGAAAACACTGTTCTGGCTGAATTGTTATGAGAGAAAAACACTGTTCTGGCTGAAAAAACAAGCCGAACAAGTTGAATATGGGGTAAGCCGAACGGGGCCAAAATTCGAAGTTTGGCTAGGTTTGTAGAAAATATTAACAATTGTATCTTTAAATAAGTTTATTATGAAAATAGAATCAATGATCTATCTAATGATACTAATTATGTACCATAAATATTAATATTTTGTTGTATATATATTTGGTTAAAGTTGAGTATATTTGTCTTATTGAGAAATGTTAATGTTAGTTAAAAAGGGACTGAATGAGTAAATAAGAATTGATTCATTGTAATCTAAACACTAATAAGAGAACGACAATGATGTGTTTATTTATTTTCTTTCTAACTGCATCAACGGTGGTTTGGGAAATAACGAAATTAAAATCCTTCTACAAAAAGTTCAGATCCTACGCACTTCCTCCACATAATGTAACTATTGGAGTTGTGCAAGTCAAACTAGTTTAAGTATGACCAAATTTATAATGAATATTATTGACATTTATGTCTCTAGTAAATTTTACTAAAAAATAAATTTCATAATTAATCATGGTACTTATTATGTATCATGAATGATAATATTTTTATATAATTTAAGTCAAAGTTTAAACTATTTAACTACTAAAAAAATAAGAATTGTATTTTTTTTTGGACGGAGGAAGTAGTTCTCTCTAATAGTCTTATACCCACTTTTACTATGTTAAGAGAATATGTAATAGTACAGCCCACTATTAGTTGCTACGTGCATTTACATGTCATTTAATAGCCTACTCATATAGCAGTTGGCTACTAGGATATACTCTATTTAACAACCTCCTCATATAGTAGCGAACTGATCATAAATTGTTGGTTAGGTTTCTTGTGGTGGAACCTGTCCATCCGGGTTTAAGTCCTCGACTTGGCATGGGTGCTCGTATTTTCCTGGATTTATTTCAGGACTTAACGGCGCTATGCTTTTAATGATAGGCGATATTCCCGTCGACAGTGAGGCTAATAGGGGTAGGGTTTACGTACGTGTGTTCATAGGGACAAGTGTGGGTGCGTGTCGTGGACATCGACGTTGTACTGTGTAATTCTAAAAAAAATAAACCTACTCATATAGTAGTTGGGTACTAAAAAATGCTTTATTATTACTATATATATATATAGTCCTCTTTCTCCTCTCATGTTTTTTTTGAAGCTTGTGCATGAGGTGGCTATAAACTTATAGCACGCTTCTCTTCCCTTTTTTTCCCTCTCCTCTACGTAGCAGTTTGCTTACGTCCATTTACTATACTTGCTCTAAGTCCTAGAAGACTTGAATATAACATTGGCTGTGCTTCATTGTGTGCCACTCTTATTGCGGGAATAATTAGCATAAGAGTTTTAATAAGAATACTCCCTCTCCCCCATAAAGAGTGTTATTCTCATTTTCAAAGAAGTCAAACTTTTTTAACTTTAACGAAATATTATATAAAAAATATTATATTTAAGTGGCTGGAGGGCTGCATCCGGATTGCCAAATTTCTGCTCGTATTCTTGACGCCGACGTACTTCCTCTTCATGGCGAGAGAAACGGCGCCCGTCGATATGACGTCGCGTATCCCGGAGATTGTTGATGTGCGCTCGGACATCTTGGTCGACTTCTTGGTTATGTTGACGAGGGTAGTCGATACGGTTCCCCCTAGCTCCCCCTAGAGGGGTCGTCCATCATCGCGATGCTGGTCAGCGAAACGGCTTCTGCTGGGGCGGCGATTGGATCTTGGCGCGGCGGATCGGCGATTCGAGCTTGTTGGGTAGGAAGGTCCTTGATCCTGGCGGATCTCGTTGACCTGGCAGTGCGCAGCTTTAAGCATTACGGCGACCTTGGCGACTTCTGTTGTTTGCTCGAGCCGAGCAAGCTCATTGGCGGCCATGGCCAAGTTGGCGCTTGGGGTCTTGTAGACATCGTGGCCGTCGACACAGACGAATTCGTCGACAAGGTTGCGGCGGAGTGGGCGTGGCCTCCCTTGCGAGTCGAGTTGTTCTCCGTTGCGAGCAGCCTCGGCTAGCACAATGGTGGCCTCATTTGCTCGGCGCTCCACACGGTTGGCGTTTCTATTGACATGAGCTGCGCGGTCCTTATCAGTTTCTCCATCCTGCGGAGGGCTGTCGATGCTGACATTAAAAATCCCACCTCCACGGAAGGGTGGAAAAGGAGGTTGGACGGCGGTGGTTTCGGTGACAGTCTCCGTAGAGCCCTGAGACTCGGAGTCTGGATTTTTCTCCAGGATAGTGTGGAGGGATTCTGCGGGACGTAGGCCGATTTGTAGCATATTGACAGTCGGCGAGAGCTGGTTGGCGATCGGATCAGCGAGAGGATAGATATCTCCCGCCTAGTCAGCGAATTTGCCCCTTAGGGCATCATGATCGATGGCGGCCGTAACCCCTGGAGTTTCCTGACCAGCCTCCGATAGATCGGAATCGGAGGGTGGTCGGCACTGAACCAGAGTGGTCAGAGCCGATTTCGCGATGGAGAGGCAATCGACGAGCTTCTGGCCAACCTGATCGGTGCATGCAATTAGATCGTCATTGCCGATCTGCTTCCTCGGGTAGCGGGGGAGCAGGCGGCGAGTTGTTGGTAAAGACGACCTCGAAGGCGGTTCTGAGATCGGATCTGCTGTTGCAGGTGCTGGTGTGGTCGGTGCAGAATCGATCTGCACCGGCTCGATGATCTCTCCGTCTCCGTCAGCATTGATGACATAGGAGATCGATCCGACCGTGAAGATCTGACCGGGCTTCAGAGAGGACGAAGAGCCTGCAAAATGTACCATCTTGTTCGTCATAGAAATAGCACGCACACGCCTACCTGGCGTGCCAACTGTCGACAGAATATCGTCGGCAGTGCTCCGAGGGGTATTCTAGGAAGGTAGATTGATCGGCAGTGGTGCGCGTAATCAAGAACAAAAGGCAACAAAGACACAAGAGTTAGACAGGTTCGGGCCGTTTGCACGACGTAATACCCTACTCCTGTGGTCCGTTGGTTTGTATTGGCTATCGTATGATATTGCATGTGTTTTGAGGGGGTCTCCTACCCGCCTTATATAGCTGGGGGTAGGGTTACAAGTCGGTTAGATCTAGAGATAACCGGTAAGTAATAACAGATTACAGGGATCACGGGATCGTAAAATATTCTAATAGATTATGCCGTATCTTCAGGATATCTTCCCGGTGTCTTGCGGGCGCGTCGAGCAGCGCCGTGCTCCGCAAGGCTTCGTTTTGTGGGCTGGACCTCCCCTGGTGGCGCAACCCATATAGTCTACCGTGGATATCCGGGTCGTACCCAAACAAGACCTGATTCTAAATATTCTAATACATCTTATTACTATCTTAAAGTTTTTTCGTTATAATACAACGCTGCATATCACAACCATGCATACATGTGTGCCATACAAACAAAGCATCCTTCTTCTTTAGTTAATTAATTAAAAAAGTTGGCACTGTCAGTCATCAACAGCATCCAGCTAATCTACGAAGTGGACTTTTCACTGGCCAACAGGGCATCGTCCGTTCCCAGGTGCCGCCGTGCAGTTGCTGTCAAGGGATGGCGACCATTCCAAGCATCCATCCATCACGAGCTACCACTGCTCTTCCCGCCCATCTCTCCAAAACAAACGTGATTAGCACTGACTGGGCTTGCAGCCTGCATGCTAACACTGATGCAGTAAGCCGCCTTTTCCTTTGGTCACTTGGGCGTGTTGGAGAAAGAAGACGCAGCCCGCTTTAATGACTGTGTTGACCTTTTGTTAATGACTCGCCGATCCCGATTAACCAACCCTCGTTCCTCGTTGTTACTCCTCTTTAACCACAAAATGCCACTTTGCTAGCTAGGGATTACTAGCACTAATCACACAATGAGCCCCCTAGAGAACCTGCTGGCCCTGGCCCTGGCCCTCCTTTGGTTTTTTTATAACGACGTGACTAGGGCTTCTAGAACAACTGCAGTTCATGTGTCTCCCTCCCCACAGGTCACGTCACGCTGACGCACTGGGTTCCTCCGATCCAACAAGTTGCAGCACCTGCACCTCAGCCTCAGTGTCCTACTGTCCTTCACATGAAAAAGGCAACGCAATGATTTAATAGTATCTTTTTTTTTTTTTTTTCACGCGTAGAATTAGTCAAACACCCTCGACAACATGCTCACCGACACCCTCCCGGTTCTCTAATCGCGTAGTACTGTAGTACGTTAGCGTACACTTGCTTTGCTGGTTACAAATTGGGCAAGTTGGAAATTCAAAACAGAGCTTGGATCACTTCATCCGCAAATTGAACAAACACACCACACAAAAATGGAGATAGTACAGTACTAAATTGCATGCCACTACAAATTATACATTCGGATACTTTGGATTACATGGTTAAAAGTAACAAACCACCAAATCGTACTTCCACTACCAACAAGAAGATGGATGAAAAATAAAAAAATGTCGCTACAAAAGAAAAGGAAGAGAGAGAACAAATCGTTCAAGCTTCACACTGCAGAACAGAATGCATACCCTTTCACTGACTCCAGCACGTCGCTCCTCCGACCCCGACGACCTCCCCCGCCAAATTTGGTAAAATTCAAACACAAAAAATTTACAGCGGCCGGCGTTTGATTCGATTCTGTTTCCTTGGGTTTCTTTTTACCCGACTGGACTGAGAAACTTCATCCGACGTGAAAAGCAAAGCCACCTTTTCTTTTTACCTGAAATTGTTTTGCAATGCGGCCCCTCGGAGGCTGGCGACGTGACTAGAAGGTCCACTTCCAGATCTTGACCCGGATCCTGACCTCGCACACGCGCGCGACGGTGGTCGCCGCGGCGGGGCGGCGGGCGGCGCCGCGTCGTCGACGGCCGCCGCGGGGGCCGGAGCGTCGGCCGCCGCGGCCTTCCCTAGCTTCTTCTTCTTGGCGGCCGGCGCCGCGGGCGCGGCCACCTTGATGCCGTCGCAGTGCACCTGGATGCCGATCTTCTTGGTCTTGAGCCCGCCCACCCTGACGCCGGCCTTGGTCTCCAGGTCCAGGGTGATGGGGAACTCGCCGGACTTCTTGATGTCGGAGGCCGCCGCGGTGGGGTCGACCGTGAGCGCGGACGCCGAGACGGTGGCCTTGATGACGGTGATGTTGCCGGCGTCGGCCGTGAACCCGGGCACGGTCGCCTCGCCGAGCGGGACGGCGTTGGCGGCCGTGGCGGCCGTCACGGTGAAGTCGTCGTAGAGGTAGACGAGCTTCTTGTTGGGGTTCTTGGCCGTCAGCGTCACGTCGATGGCGTCGCTCAGCGCGGGCGCCGTGGCGGACGACGACAGGCTCAGCTTCGTCACGCGCGCCACGGTCAGCGTGAAGGCGGGGCGGTGAGGGCGGTACAGGAGGTAGAAGGCGCCGCCCACCACGGCGGCCAGGAAGGCGAGGAGGAGGATGACGAGCACCGTCCAGAAGAAGCAGCAGCAGCAGCTGAACGGGCAGGACCGCCCGCCGCGCCGGCGCTTCGCGGCCGCCTGCTGCGGCCGGTAGATGGGCCGCTGGTACATCTTGGGCGGGCCGCCGGCGCCGTTGCCAGCCGCTGCCGCCGCCGGGGGCTGCGGGGTGGGCTTGCCGTTGGAAGACATTGCTCTGCTCCGCGCGCCGCAGGGGACGGACGAGCTCCGCACCGCAGGCGGGGCGGGGTGGGGTGGTTCTTGGAATTGGAAGCTGCGGTGTCACTGCGACTCCGTGAGCTTGGCGGTGAGGTGTAATGGAGGAGAGAGATCTATAGGCGCGAGGCGAGGAGGGTAGGGGAAGACGAGGAGGGGAGGTGGAGAAGGTGAGGGAGGAAAAGGGACAGGGCACCTCACGGATGGTTCGACCTCACCAAATCATTTGTTGCTGCTGGCTTGCTGTTGCTGCCGCTGCCGCTTTTCCTTGTCCTCTTCGTCTTCCTTCACCTCACCTCACCTCACCTGATTGGTAGCGGGTATTTTTCCCGGGAATTTTTTCTCTGCTAATTGCTAAACAAGGAGCATTTTGCAGGTTAATCACTGTAGTATTTTCTAGTACTCGTATAGTATATTCTACTAGTACTGCTGCAGTAGCATCAGGTTTGGTTGGGCAAATCAACTCAGTGCTGATGCATTGCCTTGTCAAGTGTTGGTAAAATATCATCGGAATGTATTATGAAACACACACAGTTTGGTACAACTTAGACATCGTCGAGGGGGAAAAAATTGTTTGGTAAAACTTGCCTTCGAAAAATTGCGTGCTAAAATAAAGGCCAGTTGCGAAGCATGAACAGCTCTGCAAAACTGTTCGTTTCAAGCAAGAGTTGCCATTTTGTTTGCCATGTTTTTGGTGGCTCGGATAGAACGAAATTGACAAGGATGGATGGAACTCAAAACACTGTAGTTGATGTTTTCTGTTGCTTGCAAAGGCCACCAATCTATTGCGTCTTGATGCCGTCACTTTGAGTTGTTGTTTCTATATGAGGATCAATCTTCCAAGTAGCGTCATCTCTGTGTTCTTAGTTACTATCTCTATACCCAAAAGAATGTAATTATGTGCATGCCACTTAAAATACTTTATGTTTAACTATGTTTCTAATAAATATTATTTATATTTATGGTTCTAAATCAATTTATTATATAAATATATTTCGTAATTAATTTAATAATATTTATTTGACATTATAAATATTTATAGTTGGTTAAATTCAATATACTAAATATGACATTATTCTAGAATTGCATTTTTTTTTTGGACGAAGGAGTAGTTCACAGAAGTCAGCCGGTAACAGGAGATGCAGATGATTAAGACATGACGCCAATGTTTGTGGTTAAAGCTAACTCCAGAAGTAGCAAAAGCTGTATCATTAGCTCCAAAACTTTACTTTTAACTCGACAAGTCCAGTCTTGTCTTGAAACATTGGCAGAAAGAGGAAGTGAAAATTCACTGGCTGCTGTGCTTGACCTGCTGCATCCTTCAAGTTGCAGAGCAATCGTAGCAGTAGTATAGTATCCACACGTGATACGAGCCTGGGTAGAAACTTCTAGGATCAAGCACGCAATTAACAATTAACAAGTCTACGGATGCTTGCTTAATTTGGCCCCTTTTTTACCGGCATGAGCTGAGCTTGATAGAGCAGAGGCCTTTGCCATCTCTCTGTGTTCACTGTTCAGGCATGATGGGCATGGTCGTGTGCCTGTGCAGTACCATCTCACCGGTCCTTAATCTTTCACAAATCTCCTGGAGCTCCGAAAGTATCGTGGAACCCATCGTTTGCCCATGCATACATCAAGAGAAGAAGGATGAATGACTGCGTAATTCATAACAAATAAAATATGTGGATGCAAATGCACGGACACGATTTATGAATGCACGAACATTCTATCTGTATGGTCGCTCCGAGAGTAGTTATAATACTTTCTCCATCTCTAAATAAATTAATTTCTATAGTTGTCTTAAGTTAAAATTTTTAAAAATTTGAACAAATTTATAGAAAAGAGCGTCAAGACTTATGACATAAAATTAGTATCATTAATTGTATCTTGCACTATATTTTTGTAATATGCTCATTTGGTGGAACAAATGTTTGTACCTTTTTCTATAAATTTTGTCAAACATAAAAACAAGTTTGACTTAAGATAACTCTAAAAATTAGTTTATTCAGGAACAGAGGGAGTATGTTAAATTCTTAAAAGATTATATATGCTCGATCAATATTAATTACTTCGGTTAAAAAAATATTCACTTAAGAACTGGTTCCGACTCATCTTAATTGTATCGCTATTAGTACTAAGCTTCTAAGCCTTTTATTTCTTTATATATTTGAAAAAAGTAACACTAGTACTCATACCCCCTCCATAAAAAAATGCAATTCTAGGATCGAGAGCAGTAAACTTTCTCGAATTTAACCTATTTTGTAGAAAAAATATCAACATTTGTGTCTCCAAATGAATTTAATATGAAAAATATATTTTATAATAAACCTAATGGTATTTATTTGATATAAAAAAGTTAAGTTGAAATTATATTTTGAGAGACCTAGTACATACGTAGACCCTCAAAACCACGAGTCATACTCACCGCTATAAATGCACACACGCACACCCTAACCTTACGAGCCCCTCCGAGGAATTGAGTTGAATCTGCAACTCTGAGGCACCTTGCTATCGAGGGACACGTTGCCTACCACTGAATAATATCATTGTTAAATTAGAATAAATCTAGAAAAATGAGAGCATCCGTATCAAGTTGGGGACTTAGAACCTAGGAGGACAGGCTCCGCCACAATCATTCGCTAAGTCAAAATTGTATGATTCCTAGAGAAATGAAAATTTGATTCTTTTTTGAATGAAGTACGTACTAGATAGCCAGTAGCCAGGCTCAGTCTATATATTGAGACAATGTATGCAGTGTCCGAAGGGGGTAGACGGGTAGTTGAGCCAAGTATGAAATTAATGGAAGAAGAAACTAATCTCGTGCTTCTGCCTCCCATCTCCTAGTCCTTGCCAAGAATTCAATGAACATAGCAAGTACAAATTCATAGCAGGATCCCATATATCCGTGGGCACTGGGCAACATCCATGCAAAGCCTTTGCTTCGGTCTCTTGTCATGCATGCACTCTGGTCCACTGTCCAGCACGTTCGGTCGTCACGTACACACTTGTATTGTATCACATGAGCATTTCCCTGCTTCACAGGGTATATGTATGCATGGTGGGGACACATGCATGCTTTTCTTTCTCAATGAATTTTGTATAGAACACACACAGAGAGAGAATTATTACTGTTAATTAATTAGTCGTGTAATGTTTGGTACAGTCAACCCGATGTTTGCATTAGTTAATGCCCAAGTTTTAGGGTGGTTAAGCTGAGCATTACATGTAGTATCTAGCTATAGTGTTGCAGACTATACATGTGCTGATGTGATGGGCGTCCACGTCATATTTGGCGTCCAAATCCAACCAGCAGCGGCAGTAATTAAGCAGACACGCTTACGATACCCCAGCAATCACCGTCGCACTAACTACCAGAGCGAAAGCGATGCAGGGGGCCAGTGACATCTGACATGCTTTGCTTGCATGGTTTTGTTGCTTCCGTTCTCATACGCTCGTACTATATGTGGTGTGGCGGTTATGCTATTTGTGTGTTAGCCGGGGTTCTTGTTCTTGCTGGTGCGACGTCCCCGGCGGTCCAGCTGTAGCGTGGCTGATCGCACCCGCACCTGAAACTGGGCCACACACCAGGGCCCAATATTAACGTCGAGGGGTTGCTTGCGACCTCTACTCGCTTTTTTTTTCCTTTTCTTTTTTTTTTCTTTTTTTTTCACGAAAGGAGAGAGCTTTGTTCAAACTAACAAGTCATCATGTCTTTATTCATACACCAGAGCAGCGGGGCTTCATCACAATCCACATCTTGGTAAAAGAACACACGACTTTGACGCAAATAAACTCATTCGTTAGCGGATGCATCAACATAATTGGTTGTCTTACCCTCTAATCTATCCATGCGTGTCATAAGCATATTAACAACAGTCATGAGATTATTATCGCTAATCATCCTTTGATCTTGCAACATCTTAGCATAATCAGCATTAGTAGACTTGTCCTCAATCTTTTGACGAAGATCCTCGGGAAGCTCTTCGATAGATGTTGGATTCTTGATGTTCCCTTAGTTGAAAGGATTGGTGTGACCCCCCCTTCTCCTTGGTCTTCTCGTCGTTCAACATGCTGCTAGTAGATTGAATCTTGTTCTTTTTCTTCTCCAGCGGAGTCGCTAAAAAGTGTGTTGACGCTAATTTGGGTTACACACGAGCAAGGGCTAGCATGCTCAAGGTCTGCACAAGACCTTGATCACAGCAAGAACACAACGAATCGACGAAACCAACCGAGATGTCGGTTAGACCGATTTTGAGCATGTTCTTCGCCCGGTAAACTCCCAAATGCCTCCTAGGAAGATCCATCGGGGAGGATCACGTGGTGGTTGTCCTAGGATCGGCAAGGTCACTTAGAACACCGCTAAATCTCGTCAAGAAACGTGACGAACATCAAGGTAGGGAGAAAGTTAGGGCAAAAGGGTAGGTGTTGTGTTTTTTTATGATTGGAAGTTAGAATACTCAATAGCTGAGGGGTCTTGTACGTACTTTTGATCAAAACCAACTAGCTGAGGGCTACTGTTGGGGGTACATTATGTGTTGGGGAACCCAGCATCATGTTTAACAGTTTAAGGCCTAATTACATAGCCTAAGGGTTCGCAAAATGATATTTGGGGGCTATTTATAGCCTTTGATGATATTTTTGTAAATACAAACCCCTCTGGATCCATTTATAGCACTTAGTGGTATTTTTGTAAATACCAGCCCCATCATGAAAAATAAAGAGAACCTTCCCTCCCACCTGCCCTATAAAAGGAGGAGATGGGAGGGGGAGAAGGGGCTTGACCTTGGCTGATCCTCGCTTAGTTCTCTCTCCCTTCCTCTCTCATTCACTCTCCCATGTTTGGTGGCTACACCAATATCATGCACTCCTAGTACTCCTAAATCTCATCAGAGTACCAAGAGCATCTCCAAAAGACTCTCTATATCCTTGCTAAATGCTAAAAATAGAGATTTTGGTGAAAAACTACCCTCCAATAG